TGTTTACATGTTTGCTAGCAGTAGCACATATATTGGGCTTGAGCCAAAGAGCCGGGGGCAGAGCTCTGCTCCCCGAATGGACCTTTACCCATCTGTTGAATGGGATTTTTCTTTTGTAGTTCCCTCCACCAGGGAGTTGTTCAGTGAAAAGTTGTTCGTGGACATCATAGGAGGCACCTTGAAGGAAATGGGTGGAATGTAGAAATTACAGAATTATTTCTGCATGCATGGCTGCTTTGGATCCAATCCATGGACATCAAGCAGACACCCATAACATTACGCACCCAAGAATCAGAGGTGCATGTTGGGTGGTCACTGGAAAGTGGTCCACCCTTGATGGTGGTCTTTCTCCTTCTTCCTGACATGACATTTACCAGAAACAAGAACAACTGACATATATATCAACTGTTTCTGCTTACTGGGTCAGTAATGTCAGTTTGGTGTAGTGGTTAAGTGCGTGGATGCTAATCTGGGAGAACCGGGTTTGATTCCCCACTCCTCCACTTGCAAATGCTGGATGACCTTGGGCAAGACATAATTCTGGCACAGCTGTTCTTGAAGAAGAGCAGTTTCTGTCAGAACTCCCTCAGCCCCCACCTACCTCACAGGGTGTCTGTTGTGGGGAGGGAAAGGGAAAGGAGTTTGTAAGCCACTCTGAGACTCCTTTGGGTAGTGAAGGCGGAGTATAAATCCAATCTCCTCCTCCTCCTTCTTATCATCCCTTAGTGATAATTCATTGAACTTTGGCCTCCATGCACTGTTGTTAGTCCCCCATAGTAGGTGATTGGCCATGTGTGAGACGGGATGCTGGACTAAATGGACCACTAGGGTTCGTATTTTCTTCTTATGTCTCCTATGGTGAAAACAACGGCTTCTGCAAGGGTTGTTCCTGCAGACAGGAAAGTGATGCCTCCTAGACTTTTCTGAAGTACCTCCTGCTCCAAAGAGCTGGTAGAAAGCCAGGATTAACTGTTTGCATAGGAGAAGAAGGAAATGAACGCTACAAAACCATTGATGGGGACCAGAATATCCAGAGGCAATAAACCTATGAATGCCAATGCTGGGAAGCAACATTAGGGTAACACCTTGGCCTCTATATCCTGTTTATTGGCCCTACAGGGAAACTAGACAGCCACTATGTGAGACAGGATGCTGGACTAGATGGACCACTGGTCTGATCCAGCAGAGCTTTTCTTATGTTATTAGCTAAGTTGTCCCTGTTATGCTTTGGGGAGAGATTTAAAGGATGCCTTTTTAAATATTAGGATGCTTGCTTCTGTGTGTACTAGAGTTCCCATTCTTCATGCCTCAGGCATCTCCTGGGGTATCAGTGAGCCTAGTGCACGTATATATAAATGCATATGTTTACAGAGGCCCTGTTCACACAAGGCGTTTTGGGCCAGGAGAGGGACGGATCGGGGCCGCATCAAACGGGCGCGATCACACAGCAACATTTGGCAATCGTGCCGTGGCCGTCCCCGATCCGTCCCAACTGCCCAAAACGAGCATCAAAAAAGAACCACCTACCTGGGTGGTTCAATTGAATGGGCCGTGGCAAATGCGGCCGTGGGATCGCCAGCGTGTCTTTTCGCCGGCGCATCCCCTGCCCCCTGCCGTACTGCGCATACTCGAGCATGCGCAGTTCGGCAGCCTCCCCCTCCCACTTGTCTCTTCCTCCCCGGCATCTGATCGTGCCGGGGAGCAATGGCGCGCGGCTAACAGGATCCGTGGGATCCCGCCGTGGCGTTTCTTTTTTGGCGCGGCTTTTAAAAGCTGCGCTTCGCCCCATGTTTTCCCTGCCGTGTGGCAGGGACCATATTAAACCCTGCTGTTTCCCATGCTGCAGCTGGTGAGGTTCATTGAGCATTGTTAAGTATGATAGCAGATTATAGGACTGCAGAGTAAGTTGTGATGTAGTGGTTAGAGTGCTGGACTAGGATTTGGGAGACCCAAGTTGGAAACCCCACTTTGCCAATGAAGCTCGTTGGTGATGCTGAACCATTCACACACTTATAGCTTAACTTGCCTCACAGAGTAGTTGTGAAGATAAAATGGGGGTGAGGAGAATCATGTAAGATGCTTTGGGTCCCCACTGGGGAGAAAGACAGGGGTACAAATGAAGTTGATTCATAGTTAATACAGCAGGCTGTTCAGAATCTTCAGCAGAATGTAATATTGATTAGGGGTATGAGACCATGAGACCATGATCAAGAGTATGAAAAATGCCAATTTGTCTGTTCTGGTCCCCTTTCCTTATCATTCCTGAACTTAGAGTCCAGTAGCACCTTGAAGATTAACCAAATTTGTGGTAAGATATGAGCTTTTGTGAGTCACAGCTCACCTCTTCAGATACAGCTAGAATGTGAGTCCATCTGTCCTATATATTGGAAAGTGGAGTGATTTCAGAGGCCAAATGACATTAAGAGGCAAATGACGATAGCAGGTGTGATTAGATTAGGTGTGATATTCAGGGAGGTAGTAGGCATGGAGAAACCAACATTGGTAATGAGACAGGAAACCTAGGCCCTATCTGGATTGGTACTGTAATACTGGGGAAGGGGAGGTGGGTTTAAAATACAGATACACATTGGTTTCCAGGTCAGAATAGGCATCCCTGGGCTGCTTTAAGATGTGGTAGGAAAAAGACTTATATCTCTACTTGCAATGCATGCATCCTATCACTCAGCTAAGCAAAGTTGGAAGCTTTCTTCCAGCCTAAAGAGCCTCCCTTCAACTTAAGTCTTCCTTCAGATTTGAAGAACTCCATTCTCTTTTCTCTGTCTCCTCCCCACCCCCCTTTGTTTATTTAATTTGCACTGTTTATTGTTTATTTATTGCACTGTTTATGTACCTTTATTGTCACATGACCATTATTCTCAATGGAGTAAATAAAGGTGGCTGCTCTAGTAACTGCTTCTCTTTGCACTACTGAGAATAACTTAAGAAAAAATGTAATGATGTGCACACAGCCTCAGCTCATATCATTCAGTGTATGTAGTCCCTAAAGATACATGAGTTCACTCATAGAATGGATAAGCACAATGAAGTAGTGAAGCAGTGGGGTAGGAGTGCATACATTTGGTTTTATATGTTGTTCTGAACCAACCAGTCAGATTTTAGCTGCAGGTTCTAGGGGGCTTGTGCGTATTTGAATTATTTCTTCTTTTATTCCAGTTCCTAATCTGGCCCTGAGGCCTTCATGGACCAACAATTATTCTCTATTTCCTTTCCTTTTCCTTTAGTTAAAGGATGATTTTCCTTTCTTACCCTCCCTCAGAAGCTATTTAATTAAGTCATAAAAACTATGCCTTCTCTCCACAGAGTTATTAGTAGAATTAAATATACAGAGGTATTCTAATGGTCCTTCAAGCAATTGTGTCTTCATGTAACCTGAGAACCCAAAAGAAATTATTTGGATAAGAAGACACCATAAACCAGATGAACTGTTCTTTAATCTAAACACAGGACTAGAAGATGTTGTACATGGAAAATGACTGTATCAGTGCCAGGAGATCCCTTGCTTATTAGATTGTAGTGTTTCTACTAAGGTCCCTTTTGTCCGTAATACTGTTGGCATGACAACCCCTACAGCTCATTTACTTCCCATGTTGCTGGAGATAATGTGACCACATGGAAAGAGCCCTTGCTGTGTCTCCTCTCCATGCTAGCATCTGCCCTTTGGGAAGATGGTACAGTGCTGGCATGGTAAGTGCCCCAGTCCAGTTTTTCCTAGGAGGGCTGGTACTTCTCTCTGCAGAGGAAAACGTTGCACTGCATTGGGTCCCACACCACCAACATTAGTTGCCAACATTACTTTGGCAGTTGCTGACTGTTTTTAAGGATGGTATCTTGGGAGGGTGGAGTTTGAGGAGGATGTGATGTCACTTTTGGGTGATACTCTAGGAATTCCCCCTGATTCCTATGGTAAAAATTCTTTGACTATCATTGTGGAGGCTATTTCCCAGCCATTTGTTCTTCCACTCCTCGGTGTCTTGAGGGTGGGTGTTGGGGCTGAGAGCAAGGGTGTTACCTACCACAGTCAGTGAGCAGAAGTTAGCAACAGAGAAGAAGAGTCTGGGTGTTGTTGTTTTTTTTTGGGGGGGGGACTAGCCATGGTTTTGCTGGGATTGTATAAGATTGAAAAATTATGTACATAAAATACATAAAATTAATAAGAAAACGGGGAATTAAAGTTAGTATAACTAGCATTATTGTTATAATTATATTGTTATTGCAGGGCTACATCTTTCATTAGCAAGATAGGACAAGATGGTTACCATCTCTGTGGCCTCTCATTATGAGTGTCCAAGTATACAAATTAGCTAGGGGCTCTGGCATGTTTTTCTCCCCATAAGAACAGCTCAGATCTAGAAGAAAATCATTGCAGCATGATGCGGGTTATCACCCTGTGTTTGTAGTCAGTCTTCTGCTTCAGTTTAATTGCTAATAAAGAGTGTGACCTGCTCTACGGCTGTGATAGTTGAAGTCCAAAAGGATAGGCAGGGTCAGTGGGGACTATATTCCGCGCCACAAGATACAATACTCTCCAACTGAATTTCCCTTTGTCTTCCTGAAATCTGCTCCCATAACATCCTTCCTTCCTCAGCAACCAGGAAAAAAGTCTTAAGTTGGCTGTTATCTTTCTTTCTCTTTGGGGAAAAAAATTAATAATACACTACCTAAAATATCTCACAGGGTTCAGACAATGTGTTCACATTCAATTAAAGAAATATAATTATTGATGTATATGCTTGGAGATATATATGTAAAGCTGTTGAGTAACTATGGCCATATTTGGAACAAGAATTTACTTTGAAATGAAATAGCTCTACCAACAGATAAACATAATCTGGTAGCTCAAACCATTAATGAAAACATAAATCTTAGGAAGGGAAAGGAGAAATGTTTACAATTGTGGCAGGCTTTAAAAAGAGGACCTTATATACAAGTGTTAACAGCTGCTTTATTGCTCCCCCCCTCCTTCTCTTAAATTATTTCAGGTTTGTGAGTCATGATGCAAGAATCTGGAACTGAGACAAAAAGTAATGGTTCAGCCATTCAGAACGGTGCAAGCAGTGGCAACCACTTGCTAGAGTGTGGCCTTCGGGAAGGGAGATCAAACGGGGAGACACCTTCTGTAGACATCGGTGCTGCAGATCTAGCTCATCTTCAGCAACAGCAGGTACCATAAATTACATTATACCTTTTCCCACTAAAGGGGCAAGAAAACGAGCAAAGCGTTTAATTGCATTAAAGAACCCCAATGTGATGCATTCCCCTGTGAAGTAAGTACTTGGAAAAGTGCTTTTTGGACTGCTTGATTTTTGTTCGTGTGTACAGAATTGGGTGTGTGTGTGTGTAATGCAAATATAAAAAAGAAAGTTAATACTCATGGCTTGGTATCGCCTTTTAAAAAATGGACTCATCAGAAAGATTCGAGGACTGTATCTTGATTTTGTTGTCTTTTGCTAACTACACAACACAATTTTAATACAAAATACAAAATTCAAAACAAAACCCTTGGCAACAAAGGGTTTTGTTTTATAAGTAGAAAATATCATGCTGAATATACATTAGGTACTGGGATTTAGTGGATGATGGGAGTGAAAGTAATATGTGGATCGCTAAAAGGGTCAAATGGCGTGTTTTTTCATGGTTCACAAATATGTTTATAAGTAAAGCCTTGCTCTCCTGTAACAGTTACAGCATTCTGAACATCTCTTAAAGAAGCCTTTGGCTGCTGTTTATAGAGGCTCTTCAGAGTGCACGACAATCTTGTCAGCAGGTTGTTGTACAGTATTAAAAAAGAAAACCATGAAAACACATTTTATAAAGCAAGAAGGCAGCTTTGCTATCCCCACCCCCCCCCCCCGGGGGGGAAAAATGGAAAAAACCTCCCCGAAGCTCCAGGACAGTTAAGAATTCTGAGATTTGCATGATGCTAAATGCAATGGGCAGTTATTTCAGTCATTTTCTTCCTATAGGTTTCTTTACTTGAAGTGAGAATACAATCAGTGAGAAAATCACAGCCATGCTGAATTCATTACTGCAGTAGTCACACAAAACCATGGATAAAATTTCAATAAGTGCAGGCCACAGTTGAGTAAACAGTTGCACTGAAACTTAATTCCTGTTGACTTTTCCCTCATTCTTCGCCAGGGGCACATTCTGAATCGTAGTGCAAAGACAACAGGGGTTACAGCTTTGATTAATATAGGACAGTGAAAGGGAATTAGAATGGTAAAATATGTTGGCACCATGCAGGACACAAAAGCCTTCTTTCTGAGAGCCTTCATGTCAAAATGAGCTATTTACACTGCACTGTACAATGTGAGCATAATGCTGTTGGTTTTTTTAAGGGGCGTTTTAGTCCCATCTTTTTGTTGGTATATATATGGGGGGGGGGGGGTCTGTAGACAGTTACCCTACTTGTGAAAAATGCAAAGTCTGGCTGTTATATCTGTTCTCACCAAATATTAATCAGCCCTTACGGCTACCGCCTTCTGGCCGCTCCATGATCAAGGCCCCTCCAGAATCAACCAGAGGGGTCACGGTTGAATGAAGTGATACCTCAATTGTGAGTGTAATGTATGGCATTACTCCGTGGCAGCTCACTTGGGAGCATAAGGAGAGACAACAAGGCATTTCAGAGAAAGTGCCTTACAGACCCATTCCATTGTCTGGCCAAACTTGCTAGATAGGCTGCTTTTCTATGCCCTGGATATAAGACGCTGAAATGGCAAAATAATTTCCATCCTACATGAACTTCACCAAATTCACAGAAACAAGTCACTAGCTGTTTCACCTTTTCCTCACCTGCAAACCATGTGTTTAGTTCACAGTCTTTTCCTTCAGCTCCCATACTCTTTCCTTTTAACCATGGTATTTTGTTTTATTGAACAAGCCATTTCACACTCTAATGGCATATTCATCCTTACGCATCTGCATGCATATTTATTTTTGAAGCAGGGTAATATCTAAACTGCCCTCAGAATTCATGCAGCAACACATAGGTCGCTGCGGTTTCCAGATCTTCTACTGCTAAATGCTGAAAAGGGGGGGGGGGGATTGCTGTTTTCAAACTGCTAATGCAAGCATACAACATACAGCATAATGTTTAGATGTTTCTCCCTATACAACATATGCTCTCAGGTCACTTAACAGAATGCTTGATATAAAATGCTCACTCAATAAATATGAATGGCTGTTAAGTAAAACTGCTGTTTCTTGGCAGCATTGCAGTATAAACTCTTTATTCCTCCCCCCTTCATTTTGACAACTGTATTGCATTGTCTGATCAATCATAAAAAGGTACTTTTTGCCCTGCTACTTTGTCAAATATATTGTTAATATACATCCTCATTGCAAGTAGCAGTTCAGGAGATATTTTGATCAGCTCACCTATCTAGATTTTTATGGTTGCTCATTGTGTGTTTAGTGAACGTGGGATTGTAGTGCTACTGAGGTTTAGCAAAGCGAGTCAAGTATTCCTGTGAGGATGGTGCCAGGGGGGAGGGAAACACTAGGTGTATTCATTTCAAATATATACTTATTATGTCATACAAACAGAGAATCACATTTTCACATTTCAATGGCATGAATGCTTATACTGTTGGCATGACGCAGCTCTTTGCTACAGAACTACAAAAAGGTTTGGAACACCCCAAATTAGGATATGCAGTCCTAAGGTTCCAGATAAGGCATACTGGCTCAATTCATTATCATGTTTGCACTAAGTGTAGCATAGAACCCAAAGCAGGGTTTGAGTTTCTTGTTTGCTTTCTCTGCTCAATACTCCTGTTTCTATGATACATGGAGTTCCAGGGGCACAGTAGCAGCTGTAACAAAGGCTTGTCAATTCAGATATCATTAACACAAATAATGATTTACAAGCCCACTTCAAACAATGTTGGTTGACTCTGCTTTGCTGTCTAATTATGAACCAAGGTCTGTCAATTTAGACATCACTCCAAACCATAGTTAAACTTCTTGAACTGTGATTTAGTGTAGTGTCAGAACTGAGCTACTATGTTGTACTTCCACATTATGGAATCATCTCCACACAATTTTCACATTTTTGATACCTGAAATATATTGAAAGGATAAGTTGTATCCCTACTGGAATAAATAATTTGCATGGCATAGACTTCTGAAATGCAAACATTTTCATAAATTTTAACCTTCACTGCATATTTAAGTCTGGTACTCATGGGGGTGGGGGAGTTACATACAAAGAAAATAAATATATTTAGGTGTAGTCTGTTTCCTGTCATGAAATATGCATTAATCCGAACTTTTAGGCACTTCTGTAGATGTCATTTATGGGAAGGGACTTTGTTCCAGTATTGCTTTTGCATGCAAGAACATGTATATTTACTAAGAGTAAAGAGGGAAAGAGGTATACACTCATCTAAGAAAAGGAGCTCATCCATTGCTTTGTCCCTTTGTCTGTCTTGCATAGGAGAAGGGGTTCAGACAAGGAAAGTCTTAAACTTAGTTCATAAAGTTGATGTGCATGTAAACTATAAGAAGAAGTCAGATATTACAAGCGGTCATATCATAGACTAGAAATAATGCCCGTTGTGGAAATAAATACAACGGGATCTAGAAAGAGGCTCTGGGAGAGTGCTCTGGCTTTGGGCAAACAGTGTCAGTTTCCTGTGGCGACCTCAGCAGGGTTTAATGACAGAGTCCACTGTTTTCTCCAGAGGGACTGATCTCTGCTACCTGAAGAGCATTTGTATGTTTGAGTTATCTGTAGCCCTCACCTGGAGAGTGGTAACCATTGTTACCCATTCTCCTCTCCCCTATGAGGTATGTTATGCAACTGAAAATTCCAACTGCCTTGCGGTGGGGGGGAGTTTGAGGTGTGGAATGGACTGAAGTCCAATCAGCTTCCATATACAAAAGACCAGGTTGTCGCAGCAGTTGTGGTGTGGGCGGGACCCGGGCTTTGCCTTCTGATTGGTGGCGATATATGCTGAGGAGCAGTGCCATCAGCCATACACTAAGGGAGTGCATTTTAGAATTAGAACTTTGGCACCCACTATTCAATTATATATAAGGAGAGATTGTCACAAGTCTGTTTTTTTCCTGCTGTACTCTTCTGGCCCAATCCTGCTTGTTGGTTATTTAGTTAGACAGGCTTTGCATCAAAAGTTTCATATGCTTTCATAAGTCTGCACTGTCATGGCTATGGGCTGCTAGTTTTGCTTTCCATTATGGCTGATCTCTCCTTCTTGACTCCTGATGCCCAGTTTGTTTGCATGCTGAAGCCCCAGCTTGCTTGTCTATTCCCTGGAGGATTATAGTCCTTCCCCATTTTTCACCGTGAGTCATCAATAGAATTCACATGAGTATGTTTCTGTTTGCAACCAAATGTATGAGCTATTGAGGACTCAGAATTTAGTTCAGTGTCTGGTACACCCATTGGCCTGAACATATCTCTTGGCCTCAGTGATGAGGCTGCTTGGTACTGGTGATAGATTTTTTTAAATCAGCATTGTAAGAAGTTTACAGGTTTTGTGGTTTGAAATCAGGTTTTGTGGTTTGAAATCACCCTGTTGGGAAACAGCTAAATGGGCCTTGATTAAAATTGTGTTTCGCTTTATGTGAAATACTGTGAATACAGTGACTGATTTCATCTGTTTTATTTAAGAAATTTAAGATTAAGAAACTTATCATATTGTCAACAGGCACAGGTATTATAACTGAAGTTTTTTGAAAAGTATTGGGAGGAAGTCACAGGCAGAGTTTAAACCTATGAGTTGTATGCCAGAAAATGAGAAGAAGCTAGGCACCTTCTGTCACAACTCTTTAAAAAGTCAGTCATGTATGAATACAACTGGTGCAAACAATGCCATCTAGGAAGGATGATGTGCAATGTTCCCTCTAAGCTATGGAGTCCTGTGAGCAAAAATTCTACTTTGTGAGCTGCTGGCATTAAAGTTGTGAGCGAGCCATTTGGCCACTGCATACATTAATTTGCTCTGGAGCCATCCTTCCTGAGCTGAGACAAAAATGTGTGAGCCGGAGGCTAAAAAACTGTGAGCTAGCTCACACTAACTCAGCTTAGAGGGAACACTGATGATGTGTATATCTATTTCTAACAAAGATTAGCATTTTCTGGACCATGTGTGTATTTTTGGGTCAGATGCTTTTCACATAGCCTGTGAGACCATA